CAAAATGAAGATTTTTCAAAATTGCGAGAGCAGCTAATTTTGACAACTATGTTTATATTTAAGACGTTATACTATTGTAGAAACATATGGGACTTGTGAAAAGAGTTAATTTTGCAAAAAATGAATAATACGCTTTAAGAAGTAATGTCCATAATTATTTAAGTCGAACAGATTTTCAAAAAGGACCGGTCACGTTTCGGCGCGTATCGATTCACGTGCGTGCATATGCTCGCAATCTGGTTCAGTCGTTCCACATCGAAACTCGTTGAAAACTGGCTCCGGGAGGCCTTCGACGCACGGGCACGGGTTCGGGAACCGCAAAACGTCCACCATAACATTTGCCCGCTGACCGAGCGTGCAAAAACGCGCGCAAGGACACGAGATTAATTAAAACAACGATTTATGCTCGCTCGAAATTAAAACGGATCGCGATACGACTTCCGTTTCGCGTTTTTCCCGATGTCACCGATAACCGGAAGGATTTCCTGCGTCAACTCATAAATAGAACTCGTGAATACGATTTACTGGGTTGTCCTGACAGTTCGTTCCGATGTAACATAATCTAAGAGCGCTGTACTATCTTAGGATAGTTCGTAGATTATTCGCGACGAATAGAAATATATTTTTCGAATCTCTTCATGTCCATTATTAAAATATTACATTCTCTTAAATTGAGTCACATTGGAGACAAGTACATTGCTTTTCTTATTATACATATTTAAGGCAATTTGATAATATAACGAATAATTCGGTAATACAAACCGAACGTATCCATGAAGAATGGAGCATTGTGGGTTCTCCCATCGCTCGATTAATTCTGCTCAACGATTACCGGTTGCCGGATGGAAGCGAAACAGGAAGGAAGAGGGAAAAAAAGGGAAGCAGAGCTTCCTTATTGGTCGTAGAAAGTCGGTAGATCCGTGAAAACGCGCTACGTGAAATCCAACGACCGCGATTCTCAGCCGAGGAACGCGTAATCGCCTTCGGCGCGGCGAGTTTCCTCTGGAAACTCTTCGGAGGAAAAACGACCACCGAGAGGAGAATAAAAAATGCTTGACTTTAACCGCAACAAAGTATCGTTTCGGTACGGCGATTATCTTCTCGAACACGGTACGCCTGACTGTTCGACGTTAAAAACCGACAACCGATTGAAAAGGGTTTCTGAAAAGGATTCTGTTATCCTCGCTTAATTCGGTTAAACGTCTGATTGACGGGAAAGTATATTCGACATGGGCGTTCTTCAGATTGAAAGGTGTTTATTATTTGCACAAAAATACATTTGCTCTTCTCGCAGTACAGCCTGTTATATTTTACCGGGTTTCTTGTAATGTAAGGGACTCGTTTTTAATATTGCGTCATGCATCGTGTTACACGAGATTGCAACACCGTTTAGAGTAAGTCGTCCGAAGAACGATAAACTTTCCCAATCACCGTAGGATGCTCGATGGCAACGCTCTTGGAATCTGTGACAATGTTAGTTCGCTCCTTTCCCGTGGCCATCAGTTTTGCTCATTCGCGTTCGCCTCCAGGTTACGAGACGCGTACAGGCCGATTATCAACAGGGAATAACTTTTCCTCGTCCGGTTGATCGGACGTCGTTTACGCGCGCCGTTTCTCGCGCGAGGCGCTTGATTAAGCGGTATACGAGACCCGACTTGACGAACCTTTACCGTTAGCAGCCACCTTTATTGCGAGGCCAGGCTAATGAACCGCGAAAAGCATCTACGTTTAACGAATTTCTCCCTCGCGTGGCGTCGCAGCCGAACAAACGACCGGACGGGGATAATTTAAGGTGTAACCCACGCGATGTTTCTCCGGCCTTAACGGACAGTCGTTCTCCAATCTTTCGGATCGCCGCGTTTTATTTTTCTCCTTTACATCTTATACCTCGGTTCACGTCGCCTGATTGCCCAGGCAGAAAACAAGAGATAAAGTAAAGGCGCTAATGTGAATTTCTTCGTACTGTGCGAAGCTTCGAATTCGAGATCACGTCCCAGAGTCTGTCTGCGTGATTCGAATTTCTATCACGCTTCATAATTGAATTTCAAAATTCAAACGCTGCTCCATCTTCAGAATTCTATTAATGGATTTATCTCGATAGTTACTGTAATTTAATTTACAACGATTGGGACAGTAAAATAGCGAATGTTGTAATTCTCAAGGTGTTTGTACAATGCGATCGGAATGCGTGTTGCCAACTGTTGTTTCTGTAACTGGTAACTCTATCACGTTGAAATATTCGCATGTTCCCCGTAGTCGGAAGTGTCAACTCGGGCGATTTTCGAAACTAACGTACTCCATAATTCACCCCGGGCACAATGACTCACCCACGATGTCGGTCCGAGCTCCGCAAATTCCGCTCCCCTCGATAAATCAATTTCCTTCGGCCAATCCGGCCGGCTCACCCACCCACCTTGCGCGGAACGTTTCGCAAGGCTGTCCAGATGAATTTCCTAGCACCGGTGCCCGGTAGCAAAAACGTTAGAAATTTGTTTTCATCGACGAGGGAAAAGGAATCCGCAGCTGGAACAACTCGTTGATCCGGTTAACCAACCGCCTCCCATGGCCGACAGTAAATCACTTAACACTGGACTGCCGTTCCTATGTACACCTACTTTTACCTCGCCAATCAGTTTCAAGAAAACAGTTCATTTGTTCTTACATTTTATTCGTTTAACATCCGAGTAACCATTTTTAAAAAAGTAACACTTAATTTCTCTCTGTAATTTAATGAAATAAAAAAATAAAGTTTACTATCTCGATGTATGATTTCATAAAAGAATACATTAATGCGAGACAGTTTACTTCTAATATCTAACGTAATAGAAATATTGAGTGATTCATCATTAGAGATTTTACAAGTAGTACAAGATTACCGTAAAGCAATCAGGCTTAGATTTAACTTTCTGCAATTACAATGCAAAATACCATACAAAAATGTAATTTACCATTTCGATACATTATTGAATAAAAGAATACATTAATGTAGAACAGATTACTAAATTTATTTTACTTGATAAGATAATAGAAATATTGACTAATTGATCGTGAAGTGTCTTACGCCTGCTTACACCCAGTAAAGCGCATTGTCAAACGTTATCAACTGGTGCAAGATTCCTGTCGCGTCTGTTAGAAGGCGAACCAGCTGGACGGCCTCGCGAGTCTAATGACATTCCGCAGCCGGCCGTTCCAGATAAATCAAGAAGCGTGTCCCGAAAGAGAGCCACGCCACGCTAATAAATACGTCCTATGAACAAAAACGCGAGGCCGGTGCGTACGTGTACGCAACCCGGCCGGACACTGGCCATGATGTATCGCCGCGTTCCGGCTATCTGGAGCAGAGAGACACCCAGTCGGTCCAACGTTCGAGCAGAATCATTCTCATATAAAAGCGTTTGTAAAATTTACGCCCCTCTTTAGATTTTCGCTTTACAGCTAGACATCGACCGAGAGCGAGAAAATTCCCATAGCGGTAACAAACTGGTTCTTATCGACTTACGAGCGCAAATAGGAAAACAAAGTCCGGTCCCATAGTCGTAATTGGTTATTCCTCGCTTCCGCGAACGAAAATGGTCGTCGCTTATCTCCCAGCCGTCTTCGCGTAGCAATCAATTATTTGGTCTCGTTTTACGAGGCGAAAATTGCTGGTAATCGTCGCATTATCCCACGGGAAGCGGCCGTTTACGAGTTTTTGGAATAGTCTAGCGAGAGGAAAAGGCGTCGTCGCCGCGTCGATTTCCAGTAACGCCCGAAATCGGGCGACAAAGTAACCACGGAACGTTTTACTCGTTCCACCTTGCCGGGCGGTTTTTACTGTCGCCTGTATACGGCGCAGTAAATTATCCCGCTGTAATAAAACGCGCGCACCGCACGCTGAACAAATAAACGCGAAATTACGGTGAAACCTGGCTAACTCTCTTTCCCTGCTTCTCTCTCTCTCTCTCTCTCCTTTGGTGAACGGGCATTCGTCTTCCTCTTCGGTTTACCGGTTCGCGAAAATCATTCGAAATAGGCAAAAAGTTGCGCAGAAGTCGACGTATGCCTCGAATCAAAAGAACCTGGTAACTGATTAATAGAAAAATTCTATATACAGGAAATACATATAAAACGTGCAAGAGACATCAATAAGTATATCACAATAGGTGAATTTTTTTATATTGATACTACAAACGTTTTATATTGCACAAAAGTCAACTGGTTAATCGCTGGAAAGGATCCATTGTGTCAGTTTAATTCGCTGTTAAGTGATTCTTAACCGAGAATGGAAATTGATACCACAGAACGTTTAACCTTTACGCGTCAGTCTTAATAGTAGGAAATTGGAACGGCTCGAGGTCGTGCGAAACGTTTACTGAAACCGTAATTGAACCATTCACACCACTGATGACAGTTTCGTTAAAGATCACAATCGCACATTTGCATACGATCAATCGGGACATTTAATTGCTCCATATCGATACCAGATAGAGCATCTCAATTGACCCAGTTCTCGTTTATGCGTTTCTAGGTCTCTAATTGTAAGAACATCTCTGCACATATGCAGTCCCATTGTTTAATTAAGTAATATATCAATTTCCTCTAAAATATGAACAGATTGCAAAATAAAACATTTATTGTAATTAAGAGAATTTCAGATAGAAATGCTTTTTATCGCATTGCAATATATTCTTATTTTTGATATCTGACTTCAAAATTTTAAAGCTCATGTCTTAGCTACTTGATTTTTGTTAATAAAATATTTCTCTGCTAAACATTTTGAATTGTATTCAATTGTACACACGATAATTAGTCGCACCGGCGGATGCTCACTTTGTATATTTTTTATACAGTGGTTATAATTTCTAAATATTCGTAATTTTTTTTTAACTGTCCAAATTCTCATTATTATATGTGATGGCCGTTGTTAAATGAAATCACTGGCTGCTTGATTAAATGTCAATGCGAATGACTACGAGCGAAGGGAAGATGATTAATGGTTCCCGTGATGGTTTCTGTTTCAGCCGGAGACGGTTCCTCAAGCGAGGATCGATATGACCCGGGTGTTGGAGGTCGCCGCCGCCGAGGATATCACCGGACATCCGTACAGCCTGGCCATCACCTCGCCGGAAGGTGTTACCTTCGTGAAGGGCACGTGCCGCGAGGAAACGCGGTGGTGGGCTGACATGCTTCAGGTCTACTCCAGGAACAAGGTTTGCTTCAGGATAATATTCATCAATTATTAGTTTTGATGTTTTCCTTTGAATGCATGATCGTTGAACGAGTGCTTATGAATTTACTTTTATAATTTATGGAATTTTTAATAATTTCAAGGAACACAGTGTACAGTAG